AGTGAATACCTTCACGGGTGTTAAGTTCCCTTGTCTGGTGAGCAAATGAACTCATTTTTAACAACTCCTGGTAGTTTTATTCTGATACTTCTTATACAGTTAGTATACAAGAAGCAACTGTCCCAGGCATCTCAGGGACTTCATTTGACAGTTCAGTGGCAGGCTCCATGTGCCCATGGGACACTGCCAGCTGACTCCCATGTCCCTGCTGTGTATAGTTTTTATGTAATTCCATGCCGTTTGGACTTTGAGGACACTAAAGAATACCCAAACCAATTCTCACAGTCATAGCTTATTAGTGTGTGTTCAGACCACACTATCTTTCTGCAAAGAATTAAAAGCATGCTGCATTTTTAGTCTGTCTAGTTCAGTTGCCCTTGTGCTTTCATGCTTTATGCAATCCTTTCCTTAGAAGTGACCATGGGAGACAGTACACTCCCATCTCATCACTTTGTGATGAATTATCCCAAAGCAACATGCCCTAAACATCATTTGGGGCATAAACTGTGCCAACAGAATAGTACTTTCTCATATATATGTATGTGTCTCACTCAACTAGTGCTTCAGGTGAAACCTGGCTCTTTTCAATCTAACATGATATGTATCCTTAGTGCAGCCTTATGGAAATGCTGTTTTACATTTCCAGGATCTGCCATAGTTGTAAAACCAAGTTAAGAATTGAGTTTAGTCCTAACATGCCATTAACCAACAATGTACCTTAAGGCATTTACTTAACTATTTTGCCTTCGGCCTTCAGAGGTAGGATGTTTCTGCTGACACTGATTTCAGCCAGTGAAAGTTTTTTCAGACATCTGACTTCCAAAACTTTAAGAGAAGTAAGTGGTGTGTTGTTTTAAGCCACTAATTTTGTGGTAAGTTGTTACAGCATCCATACATCCATAAACACCCCTTTACCAGGTTTATCTGCTTTTGAAAACCCTACTTCTAACGCTGTATTTCCACTCTTCCTACATTACCAGCATGTATGCACAATTAACATCCATCTGTAAACCAGAAGTATTAACATATTCATATCTTTAAACTATCACATACTAAAAAATTGAAGTAAAATTATTCAGAGCAAATTAAATGGCTTATATTTCAAATCAAAAGGAAAAGGTAAGGTTCAAGGGGCTGTGGTGACATTTTGTGCTAGCACTACAAAATAATCCTCTGCCTCAGTATGAAGTTTAATAAATAGCAAAGTGCATGCAGATATTTATAACAGTTTTAAAGACAGACGTCCCATTTGTGTAGTCCCATTAATAACAACAAATAGAGGTTGGCATAAAGTGTTTATAAATTCTTGGGTACAGTTGTTCTGAAAGTAGAGTTCACTAGCAATCTTAAAACAGAAACGTCTTGCTATTCTTTAAAACGTGCTTTAAAGTCAAAGCACGTTTGGATTGGAATTACTTGGTCTCAATGCGTAGCAATTGCTCTTTGCCATTTATTTTGACGGACTTTAACTCTCCATCTTCTTCCACTTCCACTCTTTCTTGGCCATTCTCAATAATTCTCTTGGTGGTTATTTTTTTGCCATTAACTATTTCTGTGGAAGTCGACATGGACTTGAAGTTGCCAGTCCCACCACCACCACCTGACATGGAGAAGGAAGAACGGCCCTCATTTCCCAGGGAACCAAAGGAAGTAAATCCTGTATCCAAAGAAAAACTACCCCCAAAGGCTGGAAATTCAGTGAAGGTGGAGAAAAAGGGTGCAGACCCTCTGATTCTGCTTCCTCGGGAGCTCCTCTGACCGCCCAAGATGTTCTCAAGCGGGTCTCCGAAGAAGTCAAAGGAAAATGGGTCCCGGCCACCAAAGAACTCCTTGAAGACATCAGCCGGGTCGCGGAAGGTGAAGGTGAACTCAAAGGGGTCCTCGAAGGGCCTGCCGCTGGCGCCGCTGCCACCATCCACGCCCACCTTGCCGTAGCGGTCATAGATGTCGCGTTTCTTGGTGTCCGACAACACTTCGTAGGCCTCGGCCACTTGTTTGAATCTCTGCTCCGCTTCCTCCTTATTCTCAGGGTTTTTGTCGGGGTGCCACTTAAGCGCCAGCTTGCGGTACGCCTTCTTGATTGCTTCAGACGAGGCCTGACGGGGCACACCCAGCACCTCATAGTAGTTCACCATGTTG